GGTGGGGAGTTGGCGGGGGAGTGGGGTGGGCTCACCTGGCAGGGCAGGGCTGCTCGCTGCACTTCCTCTGGCGGTCATCGGGCCGGCCCAGGGGGTCACAGTGCTCCTCGTCCACGGGCCCTGTCTGCCGCTCCGAACAGTACACACTCTGCCTCTGCACACCTGGGGGCCATGGGGCTTAGCCTGGGACTGGCACCCAGGTGGTCACCGCCCAAGACCCAAAGACACCCTTTCTGCCAGACCCTCCCAGAACAGCACCTTACGGCCCATGTCAGGATGAAGGCAGACCTCCACCTCCACCTCCTCGCTGTCCCGGTTCTCACTCACCCCCTCTCTCTTATGTAGCTTCCCCTCTGGCTGCCCCTGGAGGGGTGGCAGAGTGTGGAGGATTAACAGGTTTTTGGTGCCCCGACCCTCTGCATCCTAGCTGAAACCCTGGACAACTCATTTGGCGTCTCTGAACCTCAGCGTCCTCCTCTGGGAAGTGGGAGCAACAATCCCGCCTCCTCCAAGCCCTGGAGGGAGGACTGCGTGTGTTCTTGCATGTGCAGGCTCGGCCCACGCCCAGCACATCCTAAGAGCTCGATCCGTGCCAGCTGCTGCTAGCATGCAAACCCAGCCATGGCTCCTGCCACCCTCCTCTCAAGGAAACTGAGCCTGCCCTGAGGCCTATTTCCACATCCAGGGGCCCAAAGAGGAGAACCACAGGTGTCCACGCTGGCCCAGGCTGGGGTGAGGGGTGACCAGGGGCTGGGGCTTCAGCCTTGAGAACAGAATGAAAGCCCAGCTCCCTCTGCTCCTTCCCGGGGCTGGCTTGGGTGATGAGGTGGGTGAAAGGCATGGGGCCAGGTGGCCTGGGATGAAGTCAGCCTCACTGAAGAACTCGTGGCTGGAGGAGCAGCTGCCTGAGCCTTCAGGGCCCAGTGTGTACAGGGGCCACCGACACACCATCCCACCATCCACACCCTTCCCAATGGCTCAGAGAACATCTGGACAAGAAATTGGGCATCAAGGGGCAGCCCCTGCTCTCCACCCCTGTACTAGCCTTGGCACTGCTCCTGTCCTTCACACCATCTGCCACTGCCCACCCTGGGGCCTTTGCACAGCCATGCTCCTCACCTTAGACACTCACTTCCATACTGCCGGTTGAGGCCCAGCCGCAAGACCGCCTCTGCAGGTGGCTCTGTCTTCTCTGCTCCACCCCCTGCCCCGTGGTCCTGAGAGTAAGTTGTCCCTCCCCTGAGCTGCCGGTCCCACACCCATCCCCCTCTTTCCTCACCAACAGATTCTGATTTTGTTCAAGGCAGCAATGGGACCTGCTGAAAACACACCCCACTGCCGCTCCCTTGCAACTAAGGGGTCTGGGACACAGTCCTGGCTGGGGAGAAAAAGGCACAAGTCCCTTGCTGGGAGTCAGCCCTTTCCCCTCTCCTTCTTCCTGCCCGGTCCACGGTAAGAGCCCTGGAAGGGAGGACACCATCTGTGACAAGCAGGAGTGTAGGGGAGGCTGCTGTGGCAAGGACAGTGTGGCTGAGGGCCAGTCAGCTTCAGATCCCGCCAGCTTGGACTGTGCATCTGGAACTTCCTGCCTGAGACAAAGAACCCCTGTCTGTTCTAGCCACCACGGGGCACTTGCCCCTGCAGACACTCCCAAGTGGTCCACCTGCGAAGCAGCCAATTTGCTGAAAGACAATTCCCCAAATGTCTAGTGCTGCAAATGTATGTGTTGGTTTCCACATTTGTCCAATTAAAGACACATGTGTTAGGCCAGGCGCGGTGGTTCACGCCTGTAATCCCAGCACTATGGGAGGCCGAGGCGGGCGAATCACCTGAGGTCAGGAATTCAAGACCAGTCTGGCCAACATGGTGAAACCCCATCTCTACTAATAATATAAATTAGCCAGGCATGGTGGCGCATTCCTGTTAATCTCAGCTACTCAGGAGGCTGAGGCAGGAGAATCACTGGAACCTGGGAGGTGGAGGCTGCCGTGAGCCGAGATCATGCCATTGCGCTCCAGTCTGGGCGACAGGGTGAGACTCCAT